GACACAATGGAGAAAAAGGATTAAAGTAGTCGACCCCATGTGGTGGGATTAAGGCTTTGTTGTTGTTATTGTTGTCGTGGCCATGAATTAACTCCGGTATCAAAAGTTAGATACAAAAGTTTTATGAGGGGAGGACAGCTTCCCATAAGCTACATACCCCTACATTGGATATTTAGTACATCTTCCCTTGTCATTGACACCAGAAGAAGAAGCAGATAACTCATGAATTTTAGGCTTCTCCTTACCCAAATTTCATGTGAGTGTGGACTAGGTTTTGACTTGAGCAGTTCTGACTTTGCAAATTGTCTTCCACCTGCTCAAAGATTTTCTTCCTCCTTGTATACACACAAAATTCTTTGTTATGAGCTTTAGGTTGGGTTGGTTGGACATATTCAAGTAGGATATTTTTATGTAGTGGTGTTTGTAGATAGGAGGGTGTGGGTGGAAAAGGGGCGGGTGAAGAGGTGTCATTAAGTGAGTCAAAAAATGGATATTCATTTGCACTCTCTCCTTGAACATTAGATTTGGGATAGTATGATTGATTTTTAAAATGTACCATTCATTAAATTGTTTATTCTTTGTTGAGAGGCATACTTATGGAAAATACACTTGGTGGATTTAGGGTCAATTTTTGTGTGGATTGACAAATGAATGCGAGCAAAAGATACACACCAAAAAAATTTAAATGGAATAGTAGAAGACAAATTTCTGATGTGGGGATAGATCTTATTCATCAAGACATGACGTGGTATTGTGAAAATAAATATCTCGCTGAGCATTCGATTGATAAAGTATGTTGTAATAAGAACTGATTCGCCCCAAAATATTTTGAAACTTGATGGAATATCATAATTGGGTGGAATACCACAAGAATATATTTATTTTTTTTCTCTCAGCTCTCCATTTCACTGTGGGGTATTAATACATCATCTCACATGGATGATTCCATTTTTAAACAGATAGGGTTCAATGATAGATTTGAAATATTCACTTGCATTATCAATTTTGAGGATTTGAATTTTACATTGAAATTGAGTTTAAATCATATTATGGAAGGATTGAAAGACTTAATCAATTTCAAATTTATCCTTCATTAGGAATACCCGACCAAGCATTCAATTGATAAAGTATATTGCAATAAGAACTGCTTTCCCCCAAAAAAATTCTGAAACTTGATAGAAATGCCACCTCAAGAAGATGTCCATTTTTTTCTCAACTCTCCCATTTCACTGTGGGGTATCAATACATCAACTCACATGGATGATTCTATTTTTAAACAAATACAATTCAATGATCGAGTTGAAATATTCATTTGTAATATCAATATTTGAGGATCTGAATTTTTCATTGGAATTGAGTTTGAATTATATTATGAAAGGTTTAAAATATTAAAGTCATTTCAAATTTCACATTCATTAGGAATGCCCAAGTATTTCTAGTATGATCGTCAATAAATATGACAAACCATCTAGTTCCACTTATGGTTTTCACTTTTGAAGGTCCACAAATATCAATATGGAAGATGGAAAAAAGTGTGAGTTTATATTGTGTCGTGGGATAACTATTACTAACGTGTTTGGCAATTTGACAAATTTCACATTGATAAGAACTAAAATTTTTAAAGAAAAATAAATAAGGATGCATGTTTGCAACATAATTGAAATTAGGATGACCCAAGCAAAAGTGTCATAGCATGACATATTTTTTTATAGATATAGACTCAACAAACTAAAAAATTTGATCATTTAAAATGGAGATGAGATCATTTGAGTGTTAAGAAAAAATTTTCTTGAGTAGGTACAAGCCTTGATGCATTTCAGAACTATCGAACATTTTTCCTGACTTCACCTAAAATTCATAAGTGTGCAAGAAATTTAATTATACATTTTATATCACGAGTAAGCTTGTCGATTGAAATTAAATTACAGTCCAACTATGTAACATATAAAATAGAGGAAATAGTAATATTTCGAGAGAGCTCCTCATCTCCTTTTCCAACATTTTTTGAATAATATCCATATGCAAGTCTCTCAGATAAAGATGTACAAGCCTCTTAATGATTGATCAGAGAATTGATTTCTCTAATCATGTAATCATATGCTCTTGAATTTATTATCCAAGGTCTAAATCTCTCATTGGGGGCAAGATGAGAGAATAATATATTACATTGGTGTGTCATGAGACTGGTGTGTTGTTCTAAATTACTCTTGAGGAGTTTTTTTTTAGTACTTAAAGCCGTTCCTTGGTTAATGGTTCAGTCGATGCTTCAGATGTGAAACCAACGTTAATCTTGCTTTCTTGATCTTTTTTTCCATGTCCAGGTTTCCAATATGCAGGCTTTTTATAGAGTTTCCAACATTTATCTTCAGGTTGCCCAATTTTCTTGCAATAGTGGCGTATGGGGTGATTCTTCTTGAACTTTTGAGTCCTGGTATAATTATGGGAGTACGAAGTTGAGCTTTCAACAATTAGAGAACTCTTATTTTCAGTCACATAAGCTTCTTTCTACTCTCTTCCCCTCTTACTTTAGCAAAAGCATCACAGGTATATGAAAGAGGCTTTATTCCCATGATTCTCCCTCTCACTTAATCCCATTCTTTAGTCTCACTAGAGAATTGATAGTTCTCTTCTTCTTGATGATGGAGTTATACATCACAACGTCATGTGGACATTTACACACATGACTCAAACATATCCAATTAAAACCAATAATTTGTCAAGGTGTTGAAATGTGGGCGACACAGCCCTCCTTGAAGAAGATCATGTAGTTCGGTTTCAATCTCAAACGATTCTGCAATATTCTCAGCGTTGAAATAAGTTTCTCTTGCAACCACTTATATTTCTTTGGCCGCTTTGTAGAGCAAGAAATTTTCCCTGTTTCGGTGGTCATTGAGTTGACAAGCCAAGACAACCATATGATCTTGAATGTTCCATGTGCAATGGTTAGGATCAGTGAGCTCAGGAACTGTGTAGTCTCCTGTGAGATGTTCCTCTTTTCCTTTTCTACAAATGTACATAAACACGTATTGAGATTATTAAAGGAAGTTATGGCAATTAAGTTTATGATTTGTGATGAAAAAAGAGAGTTTAGAGGTTGTTTAGACAGAATTCTTAGACTTTGATTTAGAACAAACCTATGGAATAGAGCTACACATCTTCATTCAGTACTTGGTCATAAACCCTATGCATGTTTAGGACCGGAAAGAATTTTTTATTGTAGCTTGTTGGCTGCTACTAGTTGCAGGATTCTTGGCTGCTTCTAGTCATACGAGAGGATGAATCCAATGGCTTTGTCGGTTGTGCTTTGCGCATGAGGTGAGGAACGTCTAGAAGGTCAAAGAGGCAAGGAATGTTTGACGGTTGCTACCTGCGGCTGCTTTACTTGCTAAGAAAGGAGCAGTTGGGCCGTCAGCAGAAAGGCATGTGACTGGAGCAGTGATGAATAAGAGTGTCTATAGAGAAAGGCTCTGGTACCGGTGGTTGCAGAAAAGAAGAGTTGGAGAGGGCCGACAAATGATGGTTGTCGTAAGGACATCAAGAGAAGGTCAGCAAAGGAGGGATAGGAGGGACGGAAGATGATGGTTATCGTAGGATTCAGATGGTGTCGATGAACAATTTAGACGAGTGGCCGAAGTAGTCAAACGATCCAGGCTAGTGGCCGAAGTAGTCAAACGATCCAGACGAACATACCACGAGCAAGCAATCCAGACAAAGCTGAAGTTGAACGATGAAAGCGGCCCTAATCCCGTCAAAGCCGAATATGAAGCTCTAATACCATGAAGAAAAACTTGGAAATGAATTCTCTAAATTCTTATTCTAAATCTTAAACTATGAGGTTACATATATAAGAGGACATGCCCTCCTAATTTCAATCTTACCAAATATATTTAGCCCAAAAATGGGAATGTAATAATTCTGAAATGAACAAAAATAGGAAGAGAAAACATAATAGGAGTTTCCTAAATTGTCGCCACTTATTAAGGGGGCATAAGGAGCGATCCTCCTATATTTCCACAGTATGCAATTACATATATATAAATGGTCAACATCAATAAAGATTTCGCTAGTCATTTAGATCAAGCTTAATTTGTGCAATTAAGTAGGTTTAGACTGGATTATTGCATCTTAACTTTAGCACTTCAATGCAACCATCCAACCAATCAAATTATAATTAACTAACTAGATTTACAAATAAATTTAATTGACCAAACAAATGATTCTAGGGTGTGATTCAACCCTAATTATAAAACATCGAGAAATTTAATTGGTCGGATTCAGATCCACCAAATTGCTATGGTTAATTTTAATTAAAGTCTATGAATAATGTACTTAAAGAATCCCAAATCAATCTTGGCCCAAGTCACTGACCTCGAATCATGACCAGAATAAACTCACTAATTTAACCAAGCAAAATTGAACCTAACCAATTGATGATGAGCAATAAAAAAGGTTCAATATTTTAGATTAGGTTGATTAGGATTAGAAGCTTGCTCAATAGGGCCTCTTCAATTCAATTAAATCGTCATGCTTGGGCCAAACAAACATTGTAGGATTTGATTTTAATGGGCCTCCTCTAAATAGTTTAAATCCTACATTCAAATTCAATGAGCTAGCTAACTCAATTCCAGTTAAGGGATCATAACCTGATTAATTCTAAATTCGAATCAGATGAGCCACCTGAACTCAATTCTGGTTAAGGAATAGAAATGTCTGTGTCTCTTCTATAAGACTATAACCTTTTAAGATCAACTGGCGTTAGAAACTAATGATTTGACTCCAATTATATCTAAAATAAATATCTCATATTGTGATGGGGCATTGGAGACACTTAGTAATTTTGATTAGGGTTAACAAAGTGAACAAGGAGCGTGTTCAACTAGTCATGTGGTCAACATTCCTATGAACACATTAAAGCCCAACATGCTCCAAGGACGCCCTCTAATAACAAACAAATAAGTTGGAAATTAAATATAAATAAATTAAAACAAAGAGAACCTCACCATTGCAGTCTACCCCGGGAGACCCTGTAAAGTTGTTAGCTTCAGGTGCAAGATAAGGCGATCTATCATAGCTTTCCAGTATACCTGTCAATAATTGAAAAAAAAAAGTATTGAGAGATGCAAAAAAGTGGTTCAATGGATGATATCTGTAAGGGAATAATAAAAAGATAAAAGAAAACAATGGGTCTTAAGTTCAAGACAAACCAGCACTCTGAGCAAAGCCAACCGTTAAATCTGAAAAGCTGAAGTTTCGAGGAATATGACTTAAAAAGCCATAAGGAGAAGAGTCGATATCCTGAAGTGGTTCGTTCAGTGCTTGAGCAGTCAGCTCAGTACCACTGTAGGACGCACCAAGTGTATCAAGTGTTGGCTGAGTCTCCAAAAAACTGCTGCCAGTAAATGCAAACTCAGAATTGGTTGCATAGCTAGGCTCTGACTTGATTGTAGTACCATTCATTATGTGATCCCTTCCCATTAGTGAGCTTTTTGAGGATAGCATGCCTGCCGGAACATCCAACCTTCCATTAAAAGTTGACTGACCATTACCGAGTTGGACATTTTGATTTCCAGCAGGACCACTGCCGATGATAGCAGAAGTAGATACTCCATTGGACAGTAAACCATCAGGCCTTGAAGTAGATGCATTTTCTGATAAATAACATGAAGGATTTGGGCTCACTGCAGCCAACTGCAGCGGGTAAGTCATTGTTCAATGTAACAAAAGTAATCAAACATATGAAAAGGAAAATTGTAGAATGGACAACAGTCTGTAGAATGGAACTTTAAAAGAGAATCAGTGAACACTAAGGATCACCACTTCAATGTTGTTTGAAGAATAAGATTATGGTGAGATGATGAAAGAATTTCAGTTACAAATTGAGTATTAGTTTAAGTATTTTTAAAAAAAGAGTATCCATGGCATCACAAACAGTAACAAAATTGAACCATTAGCTAGTAAGAAGAGGTCCAAATCCAGCTCACAAACTAAGGATCCATTTGGTTTCTTACAAATTAAAAAGCAAGTTTTATAAAAAAGAAGATTTGTTAGATTAAATCCAGAAAGATGCCAATAAAAATCAACATGGTTTTGATCCCCTCAGATTTCCCAAATATGTGAATTTCTTTCACACAAAATGAGTGAAAGCTAAATCACAGAAAAATTTATTGAAATTACATTAAAAAATAAAAATAAAAAACTGGATTTGAAATCGATAATAAATGACTTCCAACCAGGCGAAGAGTTGGCATTGAAACATTTGTGGAATTCATGATTTCAAACCAAATAAGCCTCTAAGAGCTCGTTGGAATAAAGTGAATTACATAAAAATTATGTAAAATTTCAGTCCTTTTCAAGTAAAGAGAATGTAGAGCACTGACTATAGTTACAAATGGAACCATGATATCAAATGAAAACAATATAAACTACGGTCCTTGCTTAGAATATTCTTTGTAAGAATATTTATGGCCAGCAGAAACAGATATAGATGTAGTGCCAAACTCTGATGGAATCATGCTATGAATGGAAACTTTTAAATTACTCTATAATTTCTTCTAATGCTATCCAACACTCTATCAGACATGTTTAATAACTACAGCACATCTTGTTGCCCCTTTTTCCTCATTCCCAGCTCAATTCTGAAGATACTCAATCATGTGCCTTCTTTAAGACCTATAAAAATACTACAAAAATCATTTCTTTGCTCTTCACACTTTTCAATTAATTAACTTAGATAAAAATAAACTCTATAGTAGGTCATACAAGCGTAAAAAAAGATTGATTCTCTGCAAGACTAATAAGTATGAATTCCCATTGATTATCACACTATTAATCCATGTCATTTGTCTATACATATTGGTGCAGAAATAACTCTTCTCCAATAATTTAATCTCCTCTTGATATTCAAGATTACATTGAAAATAGTTATCAATTACTCCAATAACTCTTTTAAGTCTCTTCTAGATTAATTTATAATATACATCATAATCAAATTCTTTATTAAATTCAAAAAAGAATCTTCCTTGAGCTCTTGTTTAATGATTTCTAAAGCTAGAGATTTCCATGTTTTCTTAGAAGCTTCATGATTAACAAAGATCCTCTAATCTTCACTTTCAATACATTTTACTTGGTCTAGTCTCCAGATCATCCCTCTTGCCTTAGCCATATATTTTTTGCATTTGTAAAATTTCATAAAACAAAAAAATTATAGCATCTGAAATCAACTTTTTTTTTTGGCTACCTTATTCACAAGTTTTCTGAATTATAACTAGATTAATCCTCATTGGCTTGTTTGCCAATTTTTTAAAACACATTTCTTTTTCATGATAATCTTTTTAAACCTCAGCACGATCACCAGTTATCTTCTTGCTTTCGTAACATAATTTTTTAAACTCTCCTAAGACATCTATCACAACCTTCTCAAAACAACTAACCATCCCATCCTACATGAATTGCATGGCTATAACATTACAAATTTGCCTCTTTTATCTTTAATGATTAATGACTTCTAATCATTTGAATTCCTTCATAAGACCATAGGGCAATTATTTATTGTTTTTGCTTTCTTTATACTTAGGAAGGCCTTCGTTTGAGTAGGACTAAAACTGAATACATCAAAAGTAATTTTAGTAGTAGTAGCTCTAGCGATAGAATGTAACTATGGGTTATCTCGGGTCTATTGTTCAAAGTGATGGTGATATTGATGGGGATGTTATTAGTAGAATTCAAGTTGGTTGGTTGAAGTGGAGGAATGCTAGGAATGCTTCGGGCCTAGAGGAATGCTTTGGGCCTTTTGTGTGATAGAAAAATGCCGCTTAGATTGAAAGGAAAATTTATAAGATGGAGAGACCTCCAATGCGCTATAGCGCTGAATGTTGGCCTTTAAAAGAGAAGCGTAAAACTAAATTAAAAATTGTTGTCGAGATGAGAATAATTAGGTGGATGAGTGGATTTACACTTGGAGACAAAATGTGAAATGATCCGTAATAGGGTTGGTGTAGCTCCAATGGCAGACAACATTAGAAAGAGTGGTCTAAGATGGTTTGGTAACATTAAATGACAATCATTTGATGGTTCGATTAGAAAAGTAGATGTTTTAGATTCAACTTAGGTTAAGAAAGACATATTGTACAAAAATGATCTTAATTTATTAGAATTAAATGAAAATATGAAACTAAATAGGACGCAATGGAGAAAAAGGATTCATGCAGCCGACCCCACTTAGTGGGATAAAGGTTTTGTTGTTGTCATTATTGCTTTCTTTATACTTCGGAATAAATACATATTGTACTACCACAACATAATTAACAGCAGTAATTCAAATTAGATACGGCTTCATGGAAATCTTCAGCCTGATTGGCAATTAAGATTTGCTAGCCCATGCAAAACTACATGAGAACATTTCTGCAGTAGTTAGATAAGTATAATGTTAGTCAACAAGCAGCCTAAATGCTATGCAATCAACTTTTTTTTTCAGCTGAATCATCTAGATTTCTATGTTTATACCTGGCCTAAGTAAAGCTTCGCTGGGAAAAAGGCAGGGGGAAGAGAATGATGTAAACAACAGGTGAAAAAGGGGAAAGCATATTTCCAATCAAATTACCATAGAATCCAAATCTTATGAGGTAGAAGGCTGTCATAGAAGGTAAGCCCACAATGAAGGCTTTCAAAACTTTTGCCGAGAAACCTACCTACCTTTGGCAAGTAAAGAATATTGGTACATCAAAATTTACCATCTTTTCTATGACCTATTCATCAGGAGTATGCATGTGAAAATGATTAATGCTAAAAGCATGAACAAAATAAACACAATTCAAATGCAAAAATGGAAGTGCACATTGCAAAAGCATGCCGGCCAAATCTGACAAAAAAAAAAGAAAATGGAATAAAACCTTAAGGAGATATAAAATTTCTCAGTATGCAATGCTATTGGTGAGTCGCAATCAAATGGCATAGCCCTAAACATGCATGTGAGATACAAACACTTACGAAATAAAAATCACTATATCTCTTTAATTTTGTCCACAACAGATCATCACTAGAAAATAATTTGAAAATTTGAAACATAAAATGTTCAGTTGTGCAGTATAATCCATACCCTGTAAGGAAAACTTAAACTAATGCACTCTTAGCATTTTGCATGACGCTTTTGAAAGAGAACTGGAAATAAATTCATTATTACAAAGATTGAAAAATTCATACATGTAGATGAACATGAGCCATGAGAAAGAGGCGCTGAACCAACCCCTGAGGAACAAACTTTGTTCATAAGCTCCACTTGTTTTTCAAGAAGCTTATTGAATACCATAATTTGGTTCTTAAGCATCAATCTAACATGATACGCCTTAAAAAAGTCTCTATTCTCCTCTTCAAGTTTCTGCCAAACTGAAACATTTAAAAGCTACACAAAATTAATTATGCCCAGCATATCTTTCATTGCAACATCATAGAAAAGTGAAAGGAAGATGAGATTAATACAGTGACAAAGTTATGCTCATCAAGAGATTTCGTATTCAGTAGAAAATTACTGAGCAGTTAGAAATAATATTATCAAGGAAAAGGAATTCATATCCCAAATAAACGGTACAGAACTTGGAAAACATAATAACGATTAAGAATAGCAACTACTCGAACATGACACAAAACTAAATGTACTTTCTGTCAAAAAGAAGGAAAATAACTTAAAAAAGCCTAACATAAGTTAATGGAAGAAACTTATTCACATATAGATAAAGAGAAGAGATAGAATAGGCCCAAATAAGCACTATTGCACACAAGGAAATAACGGCTATAATAAACTTTCAAAATTAAGCCAACTAGAAACACTATAAATAAACAAATAAAGCATGCAGATAGCAAGCAAATGGAAATAGAATTGATTGGTTGTTTGCAAAAATAACACTTAGGTGTTGGAGATATAGATCATTGATGAGCTATAAGTACATGCACACTGTGAAACTAGGTAATGGAATAGATCAGCTTAGCAATGTAGAAGCGCCCATATTTAAAGTTTCCAACTAAAATGAGTAATATGCACCATTAGATAACACCCTGTTAATCCTTGACTCCTCCCCAGTTGCTTTCATAAAAATTTCCTAAACTAAAGAAGCATCATCATCATCATCATCATCATCATCATTATCATCGCGCGCGCGCGAGAGAGAGAGAGAGAGAGAGAGAGAGAGAACTAAGGCAGTAGTGTAAATCATAATCGCCAATCATATCCAAACTATGATTGTCAAAATGTCAAAAGTCAAGTTGTTGGGGTGTCCTGAGGTATTCCCTAGAGATATTGTCAGGGGTGGTCAGGTTGAGGGTTTCTTCAAAAAAAAATAGATGTTGCATAAGCCAAGGCAGCTCTTAAGAGGGTTACCCTTATTGTGGTGCATCACGAGTTGGTCAAAAGAATTTAAATATTAAAGTTACACATCTATCACAAGTAAAGTTGAGATTACATGTAAAACTTGCACAATTTTTAAAAATTACACCCGCCAAATTTTAAAATGATAATGTGACATGCTGGCTCATACAATATGCTTTCAAATCTATGCTATGATGCAAATTTGCCAACCTCCTTGGCATTATATTTCCATAAGGCCTTCAAGGCAATAAATAAAAAAAAATAAAATTCGATCAATCTTGCCTACAAGGCAAGAAAAAAAAAACTCACCATTAGATCAACCTCTAATCTAGTTATTATAAGTCTTATCTATTCCTTAACATCTCTGCTAAGAAAACTGTAAGAACTTGCCTCTCATTGAATTTACATTAGATAATCCAACACTAGAATAGACTAGATCCACTTATTAAACAAATTTGCAAGATCCACCATCAAACCATCCTTTAACCAAGAAGTTACCTTTTTATTAGTCTCATACCTACAAACATTTACCTAACTGCCTTTCTTTGTGTTTTCTATTTAAAAAAAGTATAGATACTGCCATTATTAGCAGTTCATAACCTCACAAGTACTATTCACATTCTTGGGATGGACTTTAATCTCATAATTCTCACATACATTCTTCAAGAGAAGTCATAACTCCTTTTTAAGGAACACATATCTTTTTATAGGGTAATAACCCAAAATGCTTTTCAAGTCACACTATAACCAAAGCAATAAACCCTAGCCTTCCCACAATTGAAATTCATCTTTCTAAGTGAATTCTAACTCGCCAAACTGGACAACACTTTACCCTAACACTTAAGGTCATGGTTCTAAATGAGCCAACTTGATTTAACTTAACATCTCAATTAAAATTGACTCAACGATAAGGCAATCAACCCTTTACCATATGGGTGATACCCTCTGCAACAATAAGACTGAACCCCCAAGAATAAAGCTTTATATCAAATATGCATGATATCAAACAACCCTATCAAGTGTGTCTTAAGGTGCACATCCCTTGAGTGAACAAAACTTCATATTGGATGGTTGATCTGGTTAAATCAATGCCTATGCGCAAGAGATAATTATGTATTGAAACCTCTAGCTACACTTAGCCATGAGTTATGCCTTTAAACCAAACTTTGGCGCAAATCAATTGAACCCAACATGTTGTACCATCAATAGTTATGTACTTGAAGCTTCTAAATCACAGTGAGCAATGTTGGTCCCCGATGAGAATGCACCTCTTTCTTGTCCTCTGTCATGATCAAATTGACCATCTATCCCCATACATTCTCCCATTAAAAAATTGAACTTCTATGATCAACCCAACCAAAGATATACTTAATCAAAGGTGTATTCAGGCATCAATTCTTGAATGCAAATTAATCATGGTGCAACGTCCATGAGAAACATTGAACCCCGATATTTAGAATGAAACTCGATCATCTTCATCAACTAAGTGGTAAAAATCTCTAGAACCTTGTCAGTTTGTTTTGAAACTCCCTGCTAGTCGTTGGTCATATGTTGATGTTACAAAAGAGCAAAGAGAAAAAGGATGCACCACAAGCTCATGTATTTTCGGGCCCAACAACCCAAAAGTGAGATTATCTTTGCTATAATTTAGGATGCATGTTTGTTTCATCGAAGCAGCCCTCAACAAACAATGGGTAAAGACTACATAAATTAATCCCTTCTCACACTTTGCATTGGTGGGAGTTGTGTGCATTTGGTACAGAATTTTTATGATTGCATGGTATTAATTGCTAATGTAAGTCATTGCTCACTTTAACAAAGGAAGGGCCAAAGGACGGCTAGATACCCATATCCAAAGGTGTTAGTTATAAGAATTTGAGAAAGTTTTTAAAGGCAAAGGCGAATAGATATGTACTTAATGTTGCATATATAAGTCACTTTATACCTATTTGGACATGAAAAAAAAAGGTATTATAAAATGAATGTATGATTTTCTCCACTTGTTTTTAAGCGTATATGCTTTCTTTGTTGAAGTAAAGGGCATCTTCGGTGAAGGCGATTCCAATCCTTAGTGAAACACTCCCAAGGACTTGAAAATTGCAATTATAACAAAGGATTGCTCCAAGCAAGAAATTTCCTATTGTATTGATATATTTATTTTTATTTATGTATCCTCTTTCCTTGTAACCTTACTACTAGAACCTCAACTAAATTGACATCTTAGTGGTTAGTTTAGGTATCATCATGAAATTGTGATTTTTCAAACCTTATTAAAACTTAAATCTAATTAAAATTGATTTCAAATACGTTTCTTTTAATCTTCCAAGTAATTATTTTTTGTGAGTTCCTTGGCAATCAAAGTATTAACTGAATTTCTTGCGAATATGTAAACTTAGCCCTCGTAATCCATTCTTTGTCGGGCATGTGTTCTCCTCCTCCAATAACTTTATAGTGAATATAATTAAATACATATGCATGTGATGATCTATTGAGCTTATTTGTACTCCTTGTACTCTGTTTTTATTCAACATTGTGACCATCATATCAAAATCAAATCAATATTTTAGCATTAGCTTAGGACCATAGCACATGAATAAATGCTTGGAGGAAGAGTTCATAATTTCTAAATGTATATGGTATTTGTTATTCAAGATTTTGAGCTAGGAGCATAAAAAGATGTAGATTTATAATTTTTAAACTCGGATGTATTGAATTAAATATTCCTTATACATGTTCTACTTTTTTATATTAACTTTAATGTAAGTTCCATGAGTTGATATATTTTTTTCTGATGTATAAAACATGCTAAGCTCCATTATTTTCTAATCAACCATTTTATAAAAAATATCATTGCTATTGAATCCTACATTAAGGTCTACTAAATTCGATTTAAGTAAACTCAAAAGGATTCAAGATAATTCCACTTCTTTGATTCCTATAATATTAATTTGGAGCCAACTCAAAGTCAATGCAAAGTTAGCCACCAATTGACTATTTCGAGCTACTAAATCAACTTGTAATACATTTCTAGTTCAAATTAAGGAGTCATAGTTAATTTAAATCAAAAGTTTATTGCAATTCATTTGAACTCTAATTCATTGCCTATTTTAATGCTTCATGACTGTTGCATTCGGTGCTAAAACAATTCAAGGCAAAATTTTTATCCATGCTAGTTGCGATTTTATCATTTTTCAGTCTGATCATAGAAATTTAACTTTGATCAACTCAGTTATGGGAAAATTTATTACCTTTCCTTTTACATGTTCAAACAATCCAAGACTATTTTCCATTAACCTCTAATACAGCTATTCATACAACATATCCACTTGACATTCTCAATTTTTATTATGATCAACTAGCTAAAATGACTTTTTATCATCCAACATTTAAATCTATAAATGTAGCATGGTAAAATTATTTTTTTTAGTTTTTTAAATATTCTCTTATAATATCCTACGAAGCTTATCCATTGAGCATCTAGCTTTAACTTGATAAGTTACATACATTTTTACATCAAAATATTTTTATATAATTGAAATGGGAGCTTTCTCGCATATAATTTTCGTAATATTGTAGCTATTATAGTACCGTCGGATTCAATATTGCGGGAGACGAGAGATGGCATATACGCCGCCAAAACAATCATGTTTTCCTTTCTTATGATTTCTTTCCTATTATCTTTCATTCTTTTTTAGTTGTTTCCTATATATGTGTTGTATTAGGGTTTGGAAGCAGATTTTATGGTATTTTCTGTTGGGAAAATTGTCGGCGTCCAAAGTTGCCCCTTCTAAGATTGCATCCTAAAGTGAGAAGGTCTTTCAGTTGTAACTCGTCAGATGTGGCGATCTCTTCCTATGGATCAAGTGGTGCTCTGGCTGTAGCTCATTCTCAAAGGGGTATTTATCCGCCGCAACCTTTCCAGCCGCTGTCATTGCCTTTCCCTCCCTCCTCTTCGTTGTCCTCACAGTCCCAACCCTCCACTTTCACCGTTGTCGCACCTGTTACCTCCCTCGCCTCGCCATTTCAACCACTATCCAGCCCTTCGTACTTGCTGCAGCCGCCAGGACAGCAGTCTTGTTATCTTTTTCTTGGATTCCCGACACCCAGCCACCTTGTTCATTCATCCCAACCACCCCCCTTGTTGTTGCAGCCCCGGGACAACACTCCTCTTGATGTCTTGAAATTCACAACTCTTCCACTCCGCTGCCCCTCGTTGTCCCAGCCTCCCCTTGGCTCTCTATCATTTAAGGTCGTCCGCTTTACTGCCAGCACAAATCCAGCTCCTCCTTTGCCCTAACAACCCACAACCCATTTCAGCCTCCTAACACTCTCCTTGACCACCAAGCCGACCTCCACCACCCACGAATCGAGCCCCTAATGTGAGTTTGTGTCTTGTTTTGTGATATTTTTCCTTCTAAGTGTGTTTAGTCATAACAGTCTATTCTTTTTAGTAATAACATTTGTTTTTCCTAATGTGGTTTGCGTCAACTCCAGTATCAATAATAAATCCAAACTGCATAAGCATATATCCAAACTGCATAAGCATATCACACATAACTGCATAAGCATCAAATTATCATCTGGTTGTTTCCGCTCCTATTAATAATTTTACAAATACTAAAATTGTATATAATATATTTAACTATTGTTTCGCTAATCTCATGCCCTTAATATTCTAAGCTATGCAGCACCAACACTTCTAAAAATACAATGGCCTATGTCGGACACGTATCAGACACCGACACCTCAAAAGATGAGTGAATTTATTCGAGCTCAAACATGTCGTGACACGCCTCTACAACACATCAGATATGCGCTTTACACAATTTGAAAAAAAAATGGTAGGAAGAAGAAAATTATAAATATACGTACAACAATAAGCATGCCTTAAAGTTAAAGTCATCTCTTCTCTCGTTCTGTCAAAGCTTCCTCTAGGCTCTAATATTCGTAAAAATCGAGCATCGAATGTATATTAAATATTTGTTCAAGTTGAACATCAATAGTTCCCTTTTTATTTGTTGAAGTCGAGCGTCAAAGATCCATCCCGCATTCGTCGAAGTGAAATATTGAAGTTCTCATTCGTTCGTCGGAGTCGAACCTGCAGTTGCTAAAGCGAAAGTTGTAAGCTTCTTTGTCGAAGCCTAAGGAGTCAAACTTGTTCATCAAAATTGATTCAAACAACCCGTGAATTTTGTGACACTTGCACTGAACTTCTATTTATTGAAGTCGTGGTCAAAGTCGTCCTAATCTTGTAAGTGATAATTTACATTTTTTCTCTTTAATGATTTTATAGTAATAAATTTAGAATTACTATAATTCTAAAAGTTAAATTTTGAACTTCATTAATTAAACAAGGTGTATTTATGAGATATTTTAAATTTTAATAGATAAGTTGTAAGAATTCTTTTGAAATATATTAAATGTCTAATTTAAAAAATTAACTTTTATAAGCATGATGTTTCATAATAGAAGTTAAATTTTATTCTTCCAAACTTTATTTGTGATGTCCTTAACAAAGAATAATATATAATAAAATATTTTATATTGATGATTAATCAAATATTAAATCGTGTCCATGGTCTGTCGTGTCCTATTTTTGTCAATTATATTGTGTCCATGTATCATATCATGTCGCATCTGTGCCCGTGTCTCATAGCTTCGTAAGCATTTTCTCTAATCTTCTGACATTTCATTTCAAAAAAATGACTCACTATATAAATTATGTCAACAAAATAAAAAAGACACCCCATTTAAAATATTATTTACAAGCATCAATATTGCTAATAAAAAAAATATAATTTGAAATATTTTAACAAATATTTATAATAATAATTAATTCTCTATCATTCGATCCGTTGTCCAAAGCGATGGTGATATAGATGGGGATGTTAATAGTAGAATTCAAGTTGGTTGGTTGAAGTGGAGGAATGCTTCGGGCCTTTCGTGTGATAGAAAAGTACCGCTAAGACTGAAAGGAAAATTTTATAAGATAGTGGTGAGACCTGCAATGCTCTATGGCGTTGAATGTTGGCCTTTAAAAGAGAAGCATAATAATAAGTTAAGTGTTGCCGATATGAGAATGATTAGGTGGATGAGTGGCTTTACACTTAGAGACAAAATGCAGAATGAATATATTCGTGATAGGGTTGGTGTAGCTCCTGTGACAGACAAAATTAGAGAAAGTCGTCTTAGATGGTTTGGTCATATTAAACGTCGACCATTAGATGATCCGATTAGGAGAGTAGATGTTTTAGATTTGACTTGTGTTAAGAAAGGCAGAGGTAGACCTAGGAAGACTTGGGCTTATTGTATTAAAAATGATCTTAATTTACTAGAACTAAATGAAAATATGACACTAAATAGGACGCAATGGAGAAAAAGGATTCATGTAGCCGACCCCACGTAGTAGGATTAAGGCTTTGTTGTTGTTGTTGTTGTATTGCATCTTTGCAAAATTCAACATACCTTCAACTCACTTTTCCTCCTTAATGTGCACCAAATCAAGTTTCACAATAATCAATAATTTGTCTTCTTGGCAATAGTAAAGAAAAGAAGAAGATCCTTTACCAATCTTTTATTCTTTGCCTTTGCAAAAGAAAAACTTATATAATGGGAATTCCTAACATAAAACTAAATTAATTTTACCATGCCGACATAACTTAAGTCTATGTTCAAATACTCTTTGATTATTTTATCGTATGACTTAAAGGTTTGATTTTTATATAACTATCATAATCCTAAGCTTCATACAAAATGCTTTTTCTCCAATCATTAGGCATCTTAATCTTCAAAATTTCATTAAAAATATTTCTTAATCAAACCACTACAATATTCCTCATACAACTATAAATCTCAATAAATACAATTTAGGCCTAAGGCTTTACTTTTAACCATCTTCTATAGAGCTAGCTCTACCTTAATTTTTAAAATCAATCAATAATATAACACTAGCCTATTTTTTATGCTCTTCACTAATGATTAATAACAAAAAAATTATTATTAATTTCTCAAAGTAGCATCTATATGATTTCTTGATATTTTTGAACTTTAACCAAATCCATTCTAATGCATCTAACAAGGCCCACGTCTCTAAATCTATCACATATCACCTTAACTCTCATATAGCATTTCCCCTTCCATAATACATAACCTATCATAAAAAACATTAAAAAAAAAATTTTTTTATTTTATTTACTACCTCTCATACAGCATTTCAACTTCTTTAGTACATAACTTATCAAACAACCATAAAAAATATAGCTTAATTTTATTTACCACCTACTTCGAAAGACTTCCTTCTCATAACTATTATGTCTCAATGGTATTTGTTTTTTCTACTCTTTAAAAAAAAAAGGAGAGAATTTCAACTTTAGCATAGAACAAAACAATTCTCCTTCTTAGTCCACTCTTCCAGAAATATTACCCAATTTTATTCTAAACGGAAAGCCTACAACCAATTTTAACTAACCTTCTTTCTTTTCTTCCACTCTTTCTTCATTCTATGTTCCTTTTCTCTGGTTTGTAAATGTGCCAAATCCATCCATTACACAAAGCACATCATGATGAGCACCCATTCACCCATCACCTCGAAATGAACAAGCTACACAAATATATTTGAAATGTAAATTTTTAATATTGTAAAATCATCATGGATTAATGGAATCAGATCCCAATGTGAGAACTAAACTAGACACAAGAATTACATATCAAAATCTGTGGCCAGTAGAATACATGATTTCTGTGTTGAGAGCTATTTGAGCATGTACTAAACTATCAGTCACAAAAAAAAACAAGAAAACATCAACAGAAGTTAACAGAATGCAAAATCTTATATCACAAACACAATAGCTAAAATGTCTGACACAAAATGTCAAAAAAATTTGGAAACACCACAATTTTCTTCTCTATGATAGCTAGTACTGGTAAAAACAAATTGTGCAGGATTCATGCACTTTAGCGCTTCTTGAACAGGAAAATCACATACACAAACCACAATAAAACAAAATTCCGAACATCTTTTTTTTTTTTTTTTTTTTTTGGGAATACTGAAAGCAAGGGTAATATTTGAAGGAAATCACAAACATGACAATTAGAGTAATTCAATGCATGTGACTTCCCACCACTGGACTCTATGGGGAAGAGTAATGTACACAGGCTTGCCTATACATTTGCAAATAAAAGAACTACTAAAAATATTATGAGCCACTAAAAATGTAAGTAACGGACTAATTTGTATGTTCACATCAACTGATCGTTCTGCATGATCCGCAAGGAAATCCATCAGTTCTGATAGATTGAAATTAAAAATAATATACGGAGAACAGTTATATGAGTTCTATTTAGTAATTATAACATTTCTGTTTATTCCTTTCAAACTGTAGGTTAAAAATGCAACCATACAAATCTTTAGAGCTGATGATTCGAGAATCAATAATTTAGGAGAATTTTACAGTTGTAGAATTATAAAGATCAGAAGGCCATCAAGAGAACTTATAAGAAAGTAAGTAAACAGTAATCACAATGTTTATTAGAAGAATATATGCCCACACATTACCAAGTTCAGTAAAACCAGGTTCTATCTTTGCCTGGTATAAGAGAGTATCCACAACTTCTTTCTGGTTCATATAAAGCTGAAGACAGCGCTCAATTAGATTCTGCACCTGAACAAAGTTGAATGGCATTAAAATAATTAATGAAATAGACGCTGTATTCCATTAACATTGTGCCAGCAGATTTAAACATCAAGCTCTAAAACCTTGACCTTAAGAAGTGATAAAAAATACTAACAATCTAGCAGTTCACTGCAGAAAACAAATTCCAACTAAGAACACGTCCATTGACTTATATGCATGCATGCACAAAGCAAAATTCTCACAGCTAGGCCGCTAAGAAAAGCTAAAGTTCACTCCTGAAAACATAGAAAAAGCACATATCTGCTGGCTTGGATGCGTAAATTGCATGATCTCTAATAAATATACCAAGGAATCTTGATGTGTAAATTTCAAGATCTCTAAGATGCCAAGGAATCTGAAAATTGACAACATATACCAAAAAAAAAAAATTTAATTGACTTAAAGAGGGCAACCACGAACTCACATATCTTCTGATTTGGATGTACAAAACTCACGATATCTATTAAAAATGTAAAGGAATCTGAATATTGGTGGTTGGTGCCAAAAAGTCATAGTCTCAAACAGATGAATCAGTCAATGACACAGATGCATAACCACAACAATATAATTATAAGTGTGACCAAAAACAAATATACACAAAAACATTGCACAAAAAAAACTTATTATACAATGAGAACATATGATATGCAGTTATTATGTATAGTCCACATATCCAGATACAATAAAGTGGGTCCAGGCTCAGATTACGTCGATGAAGCAATTGGTGCCCATCACCAACAGTTCTTATAAGTTATAACCCTCCAATAGAAGGACGAAGGAACAATCTGAAGCTAAACTCAGCCACAGCATCAGAAACAAGACTGGTCCGAGCAGAATCATCAATAAAACAAAACAACAACAACAATGCAAAGAGCAATCCCAACAGTTACTGAGACCACAATGAGAGTACACATCACTCAGAACACCACATGGGCCAACAGCCTGGTGGCAATCCAAAAAGAGAATACTCCAATGGCTCAGCCATTCAAGGCCAATTTAATTAACCTGAGCACCCGTGCAATTTCTATCACAATCAAAGTCATTCAACTGAGCATGTTTCCAGCTGAAGGATGAGGTTGGGATGTTTAATTCATAAATGTCACCTCAGCCACAACCACAAAATAAGGAAACAGAGACCATGGCTAGAGACCTTTTATTAAGGCAGTTTCTCTTGATTGCTTCAAGAGCGTCACCTCCAAAGCATGGGTCCTCTATTAAACACTTAGATCATGGAAGAATAAAAATGTTTGATCATTAATCGATTTTTCCTAAGTCAAATCACGCATTCTCATGAAAGAGGGTTGGTTTCAAACTCAACAAAAGGTGTATGCCAAGCTAATGTGCTTTAGATGATCCACATTTATGAGTTAAGCTTCAATGAGCACAATGAATTATCACTGCAATTGATAGCCCTCACAACCCAGGCACAGCAATGCACTTGTCAAAGGCGCGCTTTAGGACACCTTGGGGCCTCGTAGGCGGTTCAAGTTATCTCAATTGTAGAAAAAACATGATCCATCTCATTCATTTTATATGTGTTTGTCTCACTACACAAATTGACGTAAATGAAGAAAAACAAACTATCAACTTGTGTACTTGTGTTAAGACATAAACTCCATAACTTGTTATTATGTGATGTATGTGTATGCTATTCTTCATTGCCATATAACCTTATTAGCATACCTATCACATATAATATCAATTTTTCACAGATTTCAAAATAATAAAATTAACTAAAAAAAGTATGACAGAACATATATAACAGAATAAAGATACATTGGCTATAAGTGTAAAAGCTATAACAAATGTTTATGCATGGTGTGCAGCCTAACAATACCTGACACTATTTAACGACCACCCCTTACGACATGCAACTTGTTCCATCAAATTGTGCATGAATATCCTCATTTTTCCCATATACTCAACCTCTTTTATTTTCCAAGTAAAAAGATCATTACTTGCTATTATTTCCCCTCGCCCCTCTCTTGATCTACTCATTTGCCTTACTTCCAACTAAAAAGGCATGCCTAGAGCATTGCAAGTTAAATTGAGCTATAAGGGTAACCTCGTTACAAAGCCATATAACAACTACTCTACAAACCCCATATACCTGAAACTTCATGCCCTGGGTATAATTTCATTTGCTTTACTTTAATCTTCTTCCATTTGCTACTCCTTTACCATTCCCTCCACCATTCATTCCTTTCTCAACATCTTCATTCATTCATGGATCCCTCTAATAAAAATCATAAATTGGAAGCATTCTTATAGTGAAGTATAGTGACGGAAATGAATGTTCGCATAAAATTTGGAGACATAATATTTGGAGCTGCATCAAAGGATTCAAGCTTATTATAGTGTGAAATCTTACTATTGGGGGACCAATTAGACTTTGAGATTTAAAATAATTGTTGTTGTGGTTTAAAAGAAAAACAAGAGGCATGACCAAACTACAATAATTGTTCACTAGTGTCAATTTGGGTGGTCAGCCAAAATATAAGGAGGGAATGGAATGGTTAGAGAACACAAGAAATGAAGGGGGAAGATCAAAACTTAGGAGAGAAAGGGGAGGCAACCGTCACCTGATAAATTTCCTTAATTTAACAAAAACTACTCATTCCAATGAGAATATAAATAAGTAAAATACAAGATAAGATTATTGGCAATATAACTAAAAGGAACATCATTCCAATGAGGATATAATTGCTAAATAAAATAAAAGATATAAACAGTATAAGTGAGATGAACATCATCAAGAAAAAACAATAATTTGATCAGATGGCTTTGATCCTGCATCGATTCTTTAAGACCAAAAAACATTTCACAAAGTTAGAATGATGGCCAAATAGAAGGGGCAACAGAATCAACTCATCCAAAGCCCATAAAGAAGCAAAATTTGACAGGCTAAAGTTGCAAGAAATTCTAGATGTTATTGTGCAAGCTGACACCAAATATTATTTAATAGTGCAGTGTCAAGCATTGAAGATAGTCTCATTTATTATTACTTCAAGTACACAAAAAGGCAATAATAAGGTTCAAATGCTAACAAAAACTCAGCTATATAAATTAGAATACAAACACTATTAATAATTAAATAATTAATTTTACAACTTAAAAAAGTTCTACTTAAAATAAGTCGTATTGATAGAAACGCGATTAAGGCTTATCCGGGTGAATAGGTAGTATCAGGAGTGGTGTATATGGATAAGGAAGATCCAAATGTGAACACAGGTGATGCAGTATAACTCTACTTCAAACTTTAGTCATGAGCCCATGTTATTAATGGGTCAAATGGAATTTATTATTTAGGAAATTCTGGGCATTTTTATATTTTTAAGGGTAGCTTTAGTAATCAAAATAAGGATTGTTCCTACAAATAGCATTTAGAGTTTTGTATTCAGGCAATCAATGATAAGATGGGATTTTTTTTTTACTTTCACATTTCCTCATTTTTCTTTCACTCTACCACGTGCCTTCCTTCAAGATATTTCATTCATCTAAACTTCTCAATTATTTCCTATTTATCTTCTGAGCTCTTCTCTTATATCAAATCCTTCCATCTTCAAATATTAAAAGTCACCACGTCGTAAATTCCATTACCCACTCATCAATAATTCAATATCAAAACCTAGTTCCTCATTTCACGGGCCACAGACATAATACATGTCAAATCATATCTTCCTATTCTCTTTTACTAACCTTTTTAAAAACTATGGATCACATTGTCACTTCAATAAGATATTATAAAGATAATAAAGACGTTGATGCTCACATAAACATTTTTTTACCCGTTTCAATACATCACAAGCCTCTACTTGATCTGAAAAACCTTCAATGACAAGCCAAAATTCAATTACCACTCCGCATCGCCCTAGAAGCCCCATTTTCTACTCAACCACGTATTTTACTTCCTCACTAATGTTCCTAATTGGCTACCTCTGTATTCAAATTCTCATCCCTTGCAACAGTAACCTTATCAATTGCTAATCCCTCTATATTTCATTCAAGAACTCCAGCTCCATCTTCAACACCTGCACAAACATTAAGGTCGTCCTTAGCATCATTTCCTTGACCCCAAAGTCATTTGCCTATACAAGACCTACTAAACTTTTTCTCACCAACACCTAAGATGTCTCCTGCAATCCCTGGCCTCACTTGCAACAGTGTTCACAAATCAACTAGCAAATCTTCTCCGACGGAACTCTATAGCCAAATCAAATCCAATCCAATTAGATTGAGTTAAGCGCAACCAAATATGCTTAGATTTCCACTAAACCTAAAGCTTACTTTAAAAAAAGTGCAACTTCAGTCAAGCAAAATCTGGCTAGATCAATCTAATCAAGTTCACAAAGGCCTCTTAAGTTTTCACAGCATTTCTAAGGATTTGATAAAGTTTTGATGGATCTAAGACAAGAACATTTGAACGATATTATTGATAATGGCTATTATGTCCCCGTCTCATCTTTGAATGGACTTAAATTTTGTATCTCTTCTTCATGATGAATTTAGTAGCTCTATGGTGCATATTTGAGGGCCTTCATATCTTCCTCCAATAATATTTCAGCTCTACAAAGTGGAGTTATTGCAAAACAAGAGAACATGTGTGATATGTTTACTTCAATTTTTAATCATAAATCTATATTTTCAATATTTACGATAGCTATTAATGGGTAAAACGTCATTTGATTTCCATTTATGTCATCTCACTCATCAGTAATTTGGCATCAGAACAATTATGATATTAAAAAAAAAAGTTGCAACTCAACAAACTCTATTTTCACACCTATGAACAAGTAAACATGAACTAAAGCAAATTTTAGCCCGTTTTGTTGCAAAAAACACGAAGAATAATGTTTTTCTTGCAAGATCATCATTTTTAATTTAAATCATTACTGCATTATCAGTCCAAGGCTAAAAGAATATGCAAATAATACAGATATTTAATCATCAAATGAAGGTAGATTGAAACTTCCATATTGGACAAGAGAAAACTAAGCATACATGATAATAGCATTGATAGATATTAGTTTCATATACTCAAATCTAAACCCTACAAATTCAAGCTCAATTTGTGGAACAAACAAGGGGTTAACATAGCAGTGAAAGTTTAGCAGTGGAAAGGTAATGCCATCGTGCATTAGGTTATCCTAAATCATTACTGCAATATCAATCTCAATAATTCAAAATTTCAGTGGTGCCGGTGATGGTGTCCTCACTTGGGGATTATCAGATTAAAAATTGGTTGCATAACCCTTTTTTCAAGATGGCTCGTAAGGCACTCAAGCTTATTAGCTTCACTCCTCGTCTAGTCTTTTAAAAGAGTAAAAATATACTTCTAGATTGACATTGATATGAGTTCAATAATGAAATTAGATGTGATAGAGCATAACTCTTAAATCAGTTAGAAAACTATTAATCAAACCTTCAAATCTATTATTATACCCAAAAGTACAAGCAAAGCATTTTAACTGATTGGCAAACAGTCGAAGAAGCTTGGCCTAAAATCTTAATGACCCTCCCACTATAGAGTATAGATATACATAAAAACACGAGCCACCAAAAAGGATTTGTTTTTCAACAAAAGTGTCTTAAAATAGATGAAAAGACGATATTATTAGATTATGATTTATCTTCAAAGATGTTACAACATAACTTATTGTAAAGGCTTTTTAATAGGGTTAAGATCAAGCCGATCCAATCCTAGGTTGAACACATACAACCCAACTCAAAATCAAGCTTGTGGGTCGGACTGACAAGCTTACAAGTCGACTGATTTGAATAACCTTCACTTTAATTTAGATCAATGTTGAATCTAGTTGGCTCAAAACCAGTATTACTTCTTTTATTTTCGTTTCTTTATTTTTCTATACACATATTTATACAAATAAACACATATGTATGTATGTATATATATAAATATATATAGGGAGAGAGAGTGCGTTGATCACAAGCCAATACTTTCTTATCCTAGTTTGGCTCGTAAGCACATTGAAGATTAGGAAAAGCAGAAGAGATAGCTCCTAGCTCAACTTGTTTGGCTAGATTCAAGATCGATCAAAGCCAACAAAAATTAACCAGTCTTAGAGCTAAACTTTGTCATATTCATCAATACATTCATCTTATTTTTTCTGGCTTTGGCTAGTGTAGTACTTTAAACTCCTGTAAACAAATATTTAAAACGTGAATATATTCTATACCATATATGAAACTCTCTGTTCATTGCTCCACCTAAAGAGGGTCAAAAAAAATTATTTTGTTGGGTTGACAATGAAGTAAACATTAACCTCCATCATTTAAGTATTATTTTGAATGTTTCCCTAGTCTAAGACATAGTCACCTTTTTATCAAACACATTATCATAAATCAACATACACAAAAAAGGACCTCTTAGGTCCATAAGAGCTAAAAGATATCTTAAATCACATTAGCTCTTCCACAAAGAATCAATGACTGTGATTGAAATAAAATATTTGTCACTTCTCAACTCTTCAAATCTCAGAATTTCAAACAGATACATAATTTACTCAAATATTTATTAACCATGAGTCGGGTAAAGCCACTAGTTCAAATCTCTCTAATAAATTTATTCACATTTTCCAAATTTCCTGCATTTTGAAACTCTAATCATACGAGTTATCAATACCATGGTTAGCGAAAATCTCAAAAACAGCAAGATTCATCAAATGCAAGGTCAAAGAAGCGTGTAACAGCAAGCATACACATAAAGCAAACTATCAAAACAAAAAAATCTGTAAAAATTCCCGTTAAATCATCCTGTAGCAACAAAAACATAAAACTACAAAGCAGCTGATAAAAACGACATGAGCACAAACATAAACACATCCCTACCAGCTTTATGTCTTGACGGGAGACCTTCCTGATTTCTCCGCTGGACATCCTTCTCTGAAAACTTTCAGCCACTAGCACTCACAAAGCAAATTACCTAACCAAGATAGAAATCAACTGTATCAGTAACCCATCGAAACAAATTCACTAGGGCAATTACAAATCAACATATAACATGCCGCAAACAAACCCTAAAGTATGATCCCCAATAAAGTTACATGAGCACGTACTTCGTAATCCCCTTGAATCAAAATCTGGTTCCAATTCAGAGAAATCAATAACCATAACAAAAATACCAAATCGGAAAACATAGCAATCAGGAATAATCCAGCGAATAAAGCATCAAATTCGATCCTCTGCGGATAAACCTCAATCACAACTTAGGGATCAAAAAAACGAGAGTAACTTACCTTTTCTAGCTGGAATGGTTTTGAAACCTCCCACGCCGCTCCTCCAGCAAGCAAAGAACGATGGAAGAAAAGAATGAGCGAGCGAAGGGAGTGCAGAAGGGCAGGAGAGTGAGAGAGAAGATAGGGTGGAGTGGTGGAGAGATAAAGAAGGTAGGGGCTGCGAAAAAGAAGATGCCTGCCGCCACTGGTTAAGAAGCTCTTGCGGGCGTTAGCTGCAGAGTCTAGCTTTCACGATCGGCCCTTTAGACGTGGAGAAGCCATCTTCTCATCCCTTTTATATAATCGCACCGTCCGATGCCGGATAAAATAATAGATTTAACTTTTTAGCTTATTCTATTCATAATAAAATACAATCATTTATAAATTATTCAATGTTAATATAAGCTCCTCGGCAAAATTTAGGCTGTCTTGAATATGATTAGATATATATATATATATATTTGTGTTTGTGTGGGTTGGATCTCGAATTGTCTTTTGAGAAAAAGTCCTGAGAGTTTGTGAGAATAAATAACCGAAAGTTATTATGGAGAGAATCGGGAGAGAGCCAAAATCTTTGTATTTTGTACAATTACATAAATGAGTGAACAGTTATGGAAATTATTCTTACTGTAATTATTGCTCAAATTAATTGTAAGGATTTCATTACATGTTTGTATTACACTTTGTATTTTGTACAATTGCATAAATGAACGAACAGTTGTGGAAACTGTTTTTACTGTAATTATTGCTCAAATTAATTGTAAGAATTTCATTCCATGTTTGTATTACAATTTTGATACGCCACCAACAAATTTTTTTTATCCGACACGAATCTAGAATCATGGGACGGATCTCGAGACAATGCAAGAGATGTTCAAACTTATATTAAAACCACTCAGAGCTCCGAATTCAAGCAAACATATAGTCAAACTGACCAGCTTGATGAGACAAACCTAATGATATCAAAGTTAGTCCAATCCGAGTCAAATTAAGCTCAGATAAAGTCATCAAACCATTTTTAAAGGTTTTCAGACACATTTAGAAGGTTAAACGGTTGTCGAATCAACGCTTGTAGCGTTGATTGCTCAAATTAATTGTAAGAATTCTGTTCCATGTTTGTATGACAATTTTGATACGCCACCAACAAGTTTATAGTTGAATCGAGCGTCTCGACAAGATAAATCCAACAAGCCTAAGATTCTGCGATTTTGACATCGTTAAGGCAGTCGAATGTCCATTAAACATTGTTTGATTGGAGGAAGCTAATTAGATCGTTCGATCAAAATAATTTATATTCATGCATTAATGACACCCATAACACTATAAATAGAGTTTCATTCATCGCATGAGGTGAGGCTGGAAGCTTCAAAGAGAATCGGAAGCTCTGAGAAAGAGCTGAAGTCCAGCACCATCCCGACCATCGTCGACCACCATCGATCGCCATCGACCATCGCTAGCGGTCTTTGACAACCGTCGATCGCCGTGAGCCACTGTCAACCGTCACTATCGATCCACACCAATCATCGTTGATCACTATTAACCATACGTTGTCAGTCATCATCGTGGAACATGAGCTCAACACTACGAACCATGTGTCAACAACGACATACGTGGTTCACGGCTCGTGCGACTCCCGACTCCGACCCCCATGGCTTACGGAAGGCATTCATACTCGCCCATACGCCCTACCTGGTTCACAGCTCGTGCACCTCCCGACTCTGGCCCTCGGCGGCCTATGAATGTCATTCATTCTCACCATTATGGTCTATGTGGTGCACAACTCCCGTAACTCATTACTACAGTTTCTTTGGCCAATCAATGCTTCTGTATCAACAATCTACACAATACTCACGACGGACTATTACTTCCACAACAATCAACAATGATTTTTGCATCCTGCTCTCACCAAGAACTGCAGCCAAATTATAGTTATACAACTTTGTAATTTTATCTTCCCTAATTTAGGAGAAGAATGGACTTGTGTACTCATCATTCATAGTGACGTAGTTTTTCCCCCTTTCAAGGGTTTTCCATGTAAAAAGTAAAGTTATCTCCTCCTGCATACTTCTTGTGGGTTATCTATGTGTGTTGAATTCTCGTGCAATGCTAAGACGATAATGCATTACTCTTTCATTGTGAATTTCTAGCACGCAACAGTTTGGCGCCGTTTGTGGGAAGCAAAGTCCCACTCGACATTGTCTTCAACTCTAAGACACTGAGCCCATACTTCCTTTCCCAATGATGTACTTCATCCAACTGGCGAGGAGCCTCCTTCACGTCATGAAGATCATCTTTGATGCATTTTTTATTTGGGGGGCAACCTTCACTGCAATCTCGAATGATCATTCACGTCAATGTACTAGGCATGATCGTCGTGGGGTTGCCTTCTTGCATCTTTTTCAGACACGAAGTTTTTCATAACTTCTTCCATGACCGAGGGCAACCTTCACTGTAATTTCAAAAGGATGTTCATGTCAACTTCTCATACATGACGAAGTCATCTCATATTTCATTCAGATTACAAGTCTTTGAGAATCGCTTCTTAACTGGGGAACAATCTTCACCGCAAAAAATGCTTCCTCAGCACCCCATCATCATACTAGAGTTCCTCTTCAACCAGATCTGGAGGCTGATCTCTTCATGGTAAGAAGCATGGGTTGTTCATATTGAAAACACACTCGTCGAAGAAACAAAAAGTTCAAAAGCAACAAGTGACAAGTTGTGAAATGTTATTCTTGAGTGTGACTGCAACCATATTTTCAAGAAAACATACGGTTCAATGCAACTTACACCTCAGTCTCGAGAAACGCGGAGCGTGTCTGACACCTCATTCTGAGATTAATCGATCCTATGGGGACTTAATTAGACCTCTTCAATTACAGACTACAGTCTTCAAACAAAATCTTCGACATACAACCTCGGATAGGTCAAAAATTCCTATTGGATTTCCTTCGACCTCTTCCATTACAGGCTATAGTCATCAAGTAAAAGCTTCGACATACAATCTCCGATAGGTCAAAAATTCATGGTGGATTTCCTTGGACCTCTTCCATAACAAGTTATGATCGTCAAGCAAATGTTTCAACCAACAACCTAGGATAGGTCAGCCATCATCGGTGGATTTATATGACTTTGTTACGGGTTAATAGTTTTGAGCATCTCCGATTACACAACTCAAAACTAGCCTTACATCCTCAATGGATTCTTCTTTCAAACATGCCCCAGAAAGTCAAGCCCAGAAGGCAAGACCCGATAAGAAGCTATCATATTGATGGAAGACGAACTAAAGAGGATCTTCAGTGAAAAAACTCTGAAGGCTACAAGCCTTAAAAGGTGTCAGTTCAGGCTCCTTTAAGACATTGATCAGAGGGAGCATAACCTAAGAATGTATGAACCACAAAAGGTACGTGATTCTTTACTTGTGCGTTAACTTTAATTAAATAATTTTGCACAATTAAGAAGTCACAACAACCGTGAAAGAAATAAAGAAATGCATTATCATTATCTACAAATGCCACATCAAATGATAAAAAATGCTACAAATAACAACATATACTAGTACAAGAGTTACAAGAAATCCGCTCATCTTCGAGTAGAGTTGGCATCGCCTCCCCAAAACCTCAGTACTTCTGATGATTGTCAAGGGATCTCCAGATATCACCACCACATGAGCAAGAAAATCCTCTACTAAAAGCGCGACTGGGAAACTACAACATTTCTTGAAGAAATGTGCAAGAGCAACACTGAAATCTCCTGTGGAATGCACAACACCAACGAGAAAGATGATCTCGTTACTTGCCTGCTACTCAGGACCGAAACAACCTTTTTCTTTGTCACAACGAGAAAGAAAATCCCGTTGCATGCATGCTATGTAGAATAATTATGACTTTCCTCTTCGTCGCAACGAGAAATAAGATCCCGTTGCTTGTCTGCTTTACAGAGCGAGAACGACTTTCCTCATCGTCATAGTTCTTCCATGCAACACTTCGCCACAACTTTGCGCCACAATTATTCACCTCAACTCTATGCCGCAATTCTTCATCGCAGCTCTTTGCAGTAACACGTTGCCATGGTGCATCGCCGAGAAGCACTACCGTAATGTGTCATGTCGCCGCCATGCTCCGCCCCAATGCATCACCGCGACACACCGCCGCAACGCATCGCGCTGATGCATCGCCGCGACTCTCCGCTGCAATGCATTGTCGTGATTCATTACCGCAATATGTCAAGTCGCCGTGATGCTCCACCCAATGCATCATCATGAAGCACTACTGCAATGCACCGGGTCGCCGCGATGCTTCGCCCCAATGCATACTTGCGACACACCGTTGTAACGCATCACCGCGATGCATCGCCGAAACGCCCCACAACAACACGTCGCCACAATGCACTGCCCCGACTCTCTGTTGCAATGCATTGAGTTGTTGTGATGCTCCGTTCTAATGCATCGCCGCGATGCACCACCACGACGCACCGCTGCACCCCGCCACATTGCCGCAACGTCCCGTCGTGACTCTCCAATGCAATGCATTGTCGTGAAGCACAACGACAGCGCATTGCCCCAATGTGTCCCAGCAACGCGTCACGTTGCCGCCACACACTGCCGCAACGCATTGCCCTAACGGATCACTGCAACGCGACCCGTCGTCACGACGCCTCGCAGCATTATGTCGCTGCAATGCACAAGCGCGACACTTCGCCGCAATGTCTTGTCGCGACGCAAAGCTGCAACGCCTTGCCACGACGCATTACTGCAATGCGTCCCGTCTCCACAACGCACCATCGAAACGTTTCGCTTCAATGCCTCGTCGCAATACATCTCCATGATGCACCACTCAACATGTCACGTCATCAGGACGCTCCACCGCAACATGTCTCCGCTACACTCCATTGCAACTCCTCGCTGCGACGCTCCACTGCGATGCACCTCCGCGTCGCATTGACCCGAAGCACCACCGCAACGCTCGCCGCAACTCTACTGGGATTAATCGATCCTATGGGGACTCGATTAGACCTCTTCCGTTACAGACTACAATCTTCAAACAAAATCTTCGACATACAACCTCAGGATAGGTCAAAAATTCCTTAGGTCAAAAATTCCTATTGGATTTCCTTCGACCTCTTCCATTACAGGCTACAGTCGTCAAGTAAAAGCTTCGACATATAACCTCCGATAGGTCAAAAATCCATGGTGGATTTCCTTGGACCTCTTCCATAACAAGTTACGATCGTCAAACAAATGTTTCAACCAACAACCTAGAATAGGTCAGCCATCATCGATGGATTTATATGAC